AATGATCATTTTTACCAAGGCCAAGGCTGCCTGGTTCACCATTAATGTTCTTGCTCTCATTGGGTTTTTAGAGGAACAAAGCTAAGGGGTTCAAAGGTTAGAATCCCATATAACACAGGAAAAGAATTTTAACTCTCTCTTTTTTATTTTTTTGAGAAAGGGCCTTGAAGTTTAGGCCAAACTTGAACTCACTATGTAGCCCAGGTTGGCCTTGAACTTGTGGTGATCCTCCTGCCTCCTGCTCCTGGGACTATAGGTGCGCCTGGTGGATCTTAACTTTTTATTATGCTATGACTCCAAAATTCCACTACTTGATATATATATATATATCCAACAGAAATGTAGATATATATTCATACCAGCACTAGTGACAACAGCAAAAGCTACAAAAGGACCTATCAAAAATAGACATAGAATTTTGTTTTTGTTTTTTGGGACCATGGATTGAACTCGGAACCTTGTGCTTTCGAGGCAGGCAGCAGAACCTCTGAGCTAAATCCCCAGCCCTAGAATTTTTGATAGCTTTCATTATTTAGTGTAAAGTACTACACAGCAATGAAAATAAACAATGACCACATAAAACATGAATCAACTACACCAATATAATTATGAGCTAAAGAAGCCAAGCAAAATAGTACAAGATACCTTCGTTGAATTTTTTGAAGGTTCAAGAACAGCAAAAGTCATTTACAGTGTTCCAGGTGAGGAGAGTAGTTCCAGGGACTGGGAGTGAACAGAGACTGGGAAGGGGCAACAAGGAGGAACCAGCAGTTGCAGCAAAGTTCTGGCTTAGTGGGAAAGCTGGTAGCACACAGATGTGCTCACTTCCTTTTCTTGATGGAGAGAAGACAAGGTCTTGCTATGTAATTCAGGCTAGCCTCAAACACAGCTAACTCCAGGCAATCCTCCTGCCTCAGCCTCCCCAGTGCTGGGATTACAGGTGTGTACCACTATGCCAGCCTGGAACTGACTGACTCTGTGTTCACTTCTTCAAGTCAAACATCAGTAACATTTACATAAAAAACAATAGAAGGATCAACTTCCAGGACTGGAGAGATCCACAGATTTGTTCTCCAGCGAAACAATCCTAACTAGGGAAAGCTGGGAAACCAGCCAGATACAAGAGCAAGCGCAACAACCCCAGTTCGATCCCCGGTTCCAATAAATAAATAAATAAATAAATTTAAAAAATCGTAAATAGCAAATAGCTGGGCCCAGTGGCGCATGCCTGTAATCCCAGTACTAGGGAGGCTGAGTCAGGAGGATCACTGCGAGTTTGAGGCCAGCCTAAGCTACATACACTGAGACCCTGCCTCCAAAAAAAAAAAAAAAAAGAGTAAATAGCAAATGAAGAAATATTTCAAAAGGAAAATCTCTCTCAGCAAAAGTCTGCGGCTCCTGAACCTCAATCTGCTCCTCCTTCCATCCCCAAGCTGCACCCCCGGTGGGCGTGGCTAAGAAGGCGGCCCAGGCACCACCCCCAGCTCATAGTACCATCCCACCCCCACCCTCACACCCCTACCCCAGGAGTAGAGAATTCCACATCATATCCCCTCCAGTTCCCACTTACAAGGAAGGTATAGGCCTCTCCCCAGGTGCCTGCCGCTGGATACTGAGAACCTGATCATCCTCATCCCAGCTTACAGAAAGGATGTTTTAGAAGGGACAAATCAAGAGGACCAGAGGCTGCCATGCCTGCTCAGAAAGAGAAGGCTGGGGGTAAGGCTCAGAGGTAGAGAGTGTCTAACATCCACAAGGGGGGTTAGCATTCGGAGAAAGAAAGGGAGAGAGAGAAGGAAAGGAGGGTCAAAGTGTCCACTGGCAGATAGGAATTATTATTTGGTCTTTAAAAAGAAGAGAATCCTGGGGGCCGGGGATTTAGCTCAGTGGTTCCAGCACTTGCCTCGCAATCGAAAGGTCCCGAGTTCGATCCCCGGTACCAAAAAAAAAAAAAAAAGAAGAGAATCCTGTCCCATGCTGCAACATGGATGAACTTTGAAGACACTATACTAAGAGAGAAATAAGCCAGACATGAAGGACAAATACCTACTACAGAATTCCATTAGTATGAGTAACTGATCAAATTAAAAGACAGTGAATAGTGATTGGCAGGGGCTGGGGAGAAAGGGAAACAGGCGGCGGGCGGTTAAGAAGACTGGAGTTTCATTTCTCAAATATCAAAACATACTCTAGAGACGCATGATAATGACCAATACCCGACAATGTGAATGCACGTAATACCACTGAACTATACAATTTAAAATACTAGTTAAGGGCAACCCATTCGGGCCCCCTCCTGTCTCTCAGGAGCTAGTCCTAGTCTCCATTTCTATTCCCTAATAAATTTTCCTCTTAAAAAAATGCTAGTTAAGATAGTAATTTTAATTAATTAATTTATTTTTGGGGTACTGGAGATCAAACTCGGGACCTTGCGCTTTCGAGGCAGGCGGCAGAACCACTGAGCTAAACCCCTGGCCCAAGATGGTAAATTTTATATATTGATTCTGGGCTGAGGGGCCGGGCAGACATAGACATAAAAACACACACACAATTAAGATACAGTCCTACCTACAAGGAGGGCTCAAGAGGAATGGGGGAATAACAAGTGCTGGCGAGGATGTGAAGAAATGGGAACTCTTGTACACTGTGCGAAAGAAACTGTAGAAAACAGTTTGTAGAAAACAAAACAAACCTACACCTAGGTATACAGTAAGCCCTCTGCTATCTGCAGATTCAATCAACCTTGGACTGAAAAAATTCAGAAAAAAAATTCTTTTCAACATATAGAATTTTCCCTCATCACTCACTAAATACTGCATAACTATTTACAACACATATACATCAGATTAGATATTATAAGTAATGGAGAGTTGATTTAAAGTGTATAGGAGGAGGTGCTTAGGCTTTAGGCAAGAACTATAGTATTTTATACAAAGAAGTCAGGGATCTTGAGATTTTGGTATCTGAAGGTGATCCTGGAGTCCTTCCCCTTGGATACCAACAGATGACTATACATAAAAGAAGTGACAGCTATTCAAACAGTATTTGTATGTGACTGTGCACACCAGCAGTTCTCAGATAATCAAAAGATAGAATATCCCAAGTGCCTATCAATGGATGAATGAAGAAACAAAATCTAACACACTATACTCACAAGAAGGTCCCCAAATGAAGTACTGGCCCCAGGCCACAAGGCCCATGAACCTCAGAAACACTAGCCAGACCCAAAAGATACTGTATGATTTTATGTATACAAAATATCTAGATTAGTGAAATTCAGAGAGAAAGAATAGAGGTCACTAGGGAGGCGGTGATGGGGAATCATTGCTTAATGGTTAGTTTATCTGGGGTGATGTTTTGGAAATGGACAGTGGTCATGGTTACACTGTGAATGCAATTAATGCCACTAAACTGTGTATTTCAAAATGGTAAATTGGGCAGGCCTTTGTGTAGCTCTACAGTGAAGCTCCTGCTTAGCATGTACCTAGGCCCTGAAAACCACACACACACACACACACACACACACACACACACACACACACCCCATGCACACACGGTTAAAATGGCAAATTTTGTGTATTTCATCAATTAAAAAAAATTAATGATACTCCAAAACTCATTAATTAAACTCTGAATTGGTGAAGTGTATGGTATTTCAATAAAGCTGTTTTTTATAACTATTTCTTAAAAATGCTGAATATGGAAAAGTTTGTTAAATGATTTTATCATAAGATAAATAAATGGCAGGTGCACCAGAGCACAGGCACCACATTCAAAGCCTAGACAAGAAGCACTGAATAGCTTATAACTCCTGTAAGTTAAGGCAAGATGCTGGAGCCAAGCACTCGGTTTGTAGATCTTGAGTCTGCAAGGTAAAGGGCTTTGACTGAAAATGACTGAACTAGATGGAACTAGTGGGTCCAGGGATGTAGCTCAATAGTGCCATGCCTGCCTCGAAAGCGCAAGGTCCTGAGTTCGATCCCCAATACCAAAAAGAACGCCACTAGATGGTAATGGAAAGTTGTCTTAGAACCAAGGACAGTGACGCATGCCTTGAATCCCAACACTCTGGGAGGCTGAAGCAGGAGGGGGCCAAGTTGGACCTCAGCCTGAGATACTAGTGAGACTCTGCTTCAAAATTAGAAACATAAAAATAAAAAAAGGAGGAGGTGGGATGTAGCTTAATGCAAAAGACCCTTGGTCCGATCTCCAGAACCAGAAAAAAGAAAATACAAAATAGAGATAGAATGGAAGGGCTGGGGATTTAGCTCAGTGGTTCCGCCACGTGCCTCACAAGTGGAAGGATCTGAGTTCGGTTCCCAGTACCAAAAAAGAAGTAAAACAAGAGCCAGGGATTTAGCTCAGTGGCACCTCATCTGCCTGGCAAGTGCAAGGTCCTGAGTTCGATCCCCAGTACCAAGAAAACAAAAACCAAAACCAAAAACAAAAACAAATATAAAAGTAAAAGAAATATGAAAACAGTAATCAGTAGTTTCCTTCTACTGTTGCTGTACCCTATGACCACAAGGATCATCTCTGAAAAAAAAAATATATATATATATATAGTCTTTCATATGATGGAAAGCACTAAACAGGAAATTTTTTTCTTTCATTTTAACGCGAACCAGGTGTGGTGGCTCACGCCTGTAATCCCAGTACTCAGGTGGTGGAGGCAGGAGGATCACTACGAGTTCTAGGCCAGCCTGGGCTACAAAGTGAGTTCAAGGCCAGCCTGGGCTACAAAGTGAGTTCAAGGCCAGCCTGAACTACAAGGTGAGACCCAAAACAAACAGTCAAACAGCGATCATGCACACAGCTTGGGCATTTTAACTACAGAAAAAACCCTGCCTTTGATTTTGATACCGGGGGTGGGGGTGAGATGGGATAAAATGCATAAAACTCCCAATCACAAGGGAGACAAATTACTAGTCGGGTTTTTTCCCTTTCCTTTTTTAAAAGGGGACAGTGGTGACTTCTTTTTGAAGGATGGTGTCACTCACCGATCTCCTCCGGTTCCTGCCCGGAGGCTCTCCTCTTGCACTCTTTGGGGTAGTGTTTCTGGATCAGCTCCCACAGCTCCAGGTTGATCAGAGAATTTCTCCGGGTGTGGTACCGCGTCCACGAGGAGACCCGGCGGCGACAGAAGGGACAGTACAAGCTGGCCTTCTCGACGGTGGCTCGGAAGCACGGGTTGCAGAGAGTGTGGCGGCAGGGCAAGGTCACAGGCTCCACCAGGATCTCCATGCAGATCGGGCACTGGCACTCGGACAGCGCGGGGACGGCGCCTTGCGGCACAGCCATCTTAATATGCTAATGAGGCTTGGCGTCCACATCCGAAAAGGGAAAAATAATTTTTGGCCAACTCCAGAGAAAGCAAATTAAGTTTTGTGTCCAAAGATAGCACACAGCAGCGTCTCAGGATTCAGACGCGAGGCGCTTCAAGCACCCTGGAAGCCAAAGGCGCTGGAAGGGTCAGGGGAACACTTCAAGGCGGGGTTCTGCTTTTTTAAGCCTAATAATAAATGAATGTCTTCGCGGAGGCGAGCGCGGCGGGGCGGCAGGGTGCACCGCCAAGCGCCCTCCTCCTGCTCACCCGCTTGCAAGGTTCCACTCCGCTGCGGCGCGACCTGGGCGCGCCGGGTCGGACCCGAGGACTTCCGTTTTGCCGTGGCCGCGGGCAGCCTCAGAGCTGCAGGGTCCTCACGTTCCAGCTCCCGCTAGTCTCTCACAGCTGTGTGCGCCCGGCCCGTCCCTCGCCTTGCTCGTGTCAGCCTAGAAGCCTATTCGCAGTCGAGCTAGTGACGTCACAACTTCCCCCCAGCTGCTCCTTCCCTCCCAGAGAACCGCCCAAGGGCGGAAGCACCTTTGCGTTTGGCTGGGCGGTACTTCCGGTGCGAACGCGCGCCTTTCTCCTCGTCCCACCGAATTGTTGCAGCTGCGCCTGTTTAAACTAGGATGGTCCGCAATTTACGCCTGAGATTCCTGTTCACATAGTCTGCCAAGGTCTTTGAGTCTTTGAGCAGAAAAGGGAATCTTCAGCCGGGCGTGGTGGCGCACGCCTATAATCCCAGCACTTGGGAGGCTGAGGCAGGAGAATCACCATGAGTTTAAGGCCAGCCTGGGCTACATAGTGAGTTCAAGGCCAACCTGGACTACACAGCGAGACCCTGTCACAAACCACCTTCCCCTCCAAAGATAGAACAGGGCACCTTCTCTACACGAAGACCTGAACGGTAATTTTTGTAATTCTTCCCTCAGGAATCTTCAAACCTTTATTATTTATATCAAAGTTCCTATTGTTTACATTAAAGTTTCAGAGAAATGTTAAAAATTGATTCCTTCCCCCCAAAAAGTTGATTCCCTAGTACTGTTGCACTTTTTTTGTGGCAAATGTTAAGTATCACAGGTTACCGTATATAAAATGTAGACTGTCGTGTTGATTATACAATCATACACTTTTTTTTTTTTTGGTATCGGGATTGGACTCAGGACCTTGCACTTGGCAGAAAGACACAGAGCCACTGAGCTAAATCCCCATACATTAATTTTTATCTGTACGCATTTCAGTGATTTTTAGACAGTATTAACAGGTTGAATATTTGTTTCTAGAACTTGTTTTATGTCTACTGTGAAGACTTTGTTATTATTTGCTAGGAAGTTCACACGAATCATTCCTGCTCTTTGACTTAGTATTTGCGTCACAGACTTCATTAGGATATCTCTTTCCTGCTTCTCTCCAGGGTTTGTCACTTGAATGAATTGTTGCTAACCAACCTCTTGACGGTCTCTAATGGTACAAATTTCTGTGCCAATGTAAACAAATTACCAGAATTACTCCATGATATCTTTAACAGGAGGTGCTGTCATAAAATGTTTAATTTGGAGTGCTGTAAAATTTGAGGACAGTTTTTCGTTACAGCACAATGTGAGTGTGTGTGTATGTGGCTTTTTGTGTCTGTTGTTTTTCTAAAAGTCCTTCCAACTATTAAAAGTAATGTAGTCTGAAAAAAAGTTCTTAATGTCAAAAGACAAAGCTAAACTGGGCATAGTGGCATATGCCTGTGATCCTAGCACTTTAGGAGGCTGAAGCAAGTTTAAACTCCCTGGGCAACTTAAAGACTTAGCGAGACCCTGTCTCAATAAAAAAAAAAAAAAAAGACAAAATTACATTAAATTTAAAGACCTTAATTAGCTTTTATTTGCAGTTTTAGAATCAGACTCCAGAGAGATGAGCAGAAACAACCAAAAGCAGATGAGTGGTAAGAAACGTTTCTTTCCTTGTAAAGGTGAAAGCACAGGGATTTCCTTAAACTACCAAAAACTGTCCTGATTTAGGATTTGGCTATTATTTCTCCTCTGATTTTTTGGAAAGATAGTTTTGGCTTGGGCCGGGGATTTAGCTCAGTGGTTTCGCCCCCTGCCTAGCAAGCTCAAGGACCTGAGTTCGATCTCCTGTACCAAAAAAAAAAAAAAAAAAAAAAAGTTTTGGCTTGATGGCCTGGAGTTTCAACCTAAATAACTTCTTCAATTTGATCTTTTGGGCGTGGTTCAACAGCTCATTTAGCATTAGAAAAACATTTTTGAGGCCTGCGGATGTAGCTCAGTGGCACTGCCCCTGCCTTGCAAGCACAAGTTTGGTCCCTGGTACAAAAAGAAGAAAAACATCTTTGAAAAGGTTGATCCCACAGAAACTTTGAAAGTTGTAGCGGCAGAAACTTTGGACTTGGAATGACTTGATTGACAACCACTTATCCTTCTGTGGGACTGCATAACTCTGTAATCATAAAACTCCCCTAGCCCCAACTGTGATTGAATGTGAGTAAATAGATAAAGATGCTTGTTAGTTCCCCGACACTAGATAAGATCTGTATCAGCCATAATTATTCAACTCTTTGTTCAAAAACTGATGTTCCAGACACCGCTATCTATAGAACAATCTACAAAACATCTGCTGACCATCAGTACCGGTCAGGCTAATTAACATACAAATGTAAGACCTCTAACCTTTGTTCCCTCTTCTGTAAATTTCACCTGTTAACTTCCCTGCAACCCCCTATAAAAAGAGCCTTGGACTCTGGGCTGATTGCCTCTCTAAGCTACTTTGCTTTGGGAGTGCTGTCCTGCCAGACTAAGCTCTGTTTTACTTTCCAACTTGTCTGGTGTGTTCCTTCCCGGGTGTTCTTCGCTGCAGTCAGTTCCTCGGAGTGCTTGGTAAGGCCCTTGGTCTTACATTCTGGAGGCACCGCTGGGATCCCTGGGTGTGCTTCACTACAGTCAGCTCCTCTGAGCGTTTGGTAAGGCCCTTGGTCTTACATTCTGGAGGCACCGCTGGGATCCCTGGGTGTGCTTCACTACAGTCAGCTCCTCGCAGTGTTTCGTAAGGCCCCCGGTCTTACACTTCCTTCTATATCCCAGCCCCTCAAAGTCTGTAGCCAGAGGCTGATTTAAGGTTGTCTTCCCTTCTGATAGGCTTGGGCAATAAAGTGCAAGATTGGGTCCGTTCTGGGGCTTAGCTGTTTATATCATGTATATCATTTATATGATACTGTACACATTTTATTCTTAAATTTCAAAGGAGGTTATTGAAAATATAGTTTCACATTTTATGCATTTTGGCATTAACTTTTTGTGTTATATGCATGTATGTGGTGTTGAGATTGAACCCAGGGCCTTGTTAAGCATGCTAAGCATGTGCTCTGTCACCGAGCTACAATTGCAGTTCCATGAATTTTGGGTTTAAAAAAAAAAATGTTGTTTGTTTGTTTTGGTTTTTTGAAGTAGTCTTGGTTTCTAGTGCAGACTGGCCTTGAACTCACTATGTAGCTCAGGCTGGCTTTAAACTCACTGTAATCCTCCTGCCTCAGCCTCCTGAGTGCTGGGATTACAGGCATGGGCCACCCACACTGGGCTTCCTTTGAACCGACAACTGAGTCTTCAAAATTCATTTGTATGAAAAAAGCAAAATTTGGCTAGGAAAATGATGGGAAATATATAGCAAATGTGTTTCCTAGTACTTAAACAGCTCCTGCTGGACGTGGTGGTGCATGCCTGTAATCCCAGCATTCAGGAGGCTGAGGCAGGAGGATTGGTGTGAGTTTGAGGCCAGCCTGAGCTACATAGGGAGTTCAAGGATAGTCTGAACTAATAACAAGACCCTGTCTCAAAAATCATTTAAAAAAAAAAAAACAACAACAACCAGGGCTGAGTCTTTTTAGGAAATAATAGGTGTGTAGGAAAAGAAAAACGTTACTGTGTATGAAAATAGCCTTTGGGTTTGATGAACATACTGAGATTGAGCACAGGAATGGTCTCCAGGCTAAACCAAAATAAGATGTGGTTCTTGATAGACAGTGTGGGAGCTTTTCTCTTTTTTTTGAGACAAGGTCTCACTATATAGTTCAATCTGACCTTGAACTCACAATATAGCTAAAAAACAAAACAAAACTATAGCTGAGGCTGGCCTTGAATTTGCAGTGATCCTCCTGCCTCAGCCTACTGAATGCTGAATTACAGGCATGTGCCACCATGCCTGGCTGGGAGCTTTTGTTTTATAGGAGTTCAGAAACCTGGAGTCACCATCCACTCATCCACAGTGTCAAACCCTTACCCTGTAATTCTAGACTCCTTCCAGTCCACAACCTGTTTGTTTGTTTTTTTTTCATAGATCTTTCCTCTTCCTCCTCCCTCCTTTTTCTTGAGTTTGTATCTGAGCCATGTGTGAAACACACCTGTGATCCCAGCATTCTGGAAGACTGACCCAGGTATTTTAGCAACTTATCAAAACCCTGTGTCAAAATTTTAAAAAGAGTTGGGACTATAACTCATTGTGAAGGCCCTGGGTTTAATTCCCCAGTACCACCAAAATAATAATAATAATAAATGAATAAACATTTGGGATCTCACTATTGTCCAGGCTGGCCCTGAGCTCCTGGGCTCAAATGATCCTGCTGTATCAGGCTCCTGAGTAGCTGAGACTCTAGGTACAGTGCACAGTGCCCAGGTATCTATCTATCTATCTATCTATCTATCTATCTATCTATCTATCTATCTATTTATTGAGACAGGGTCCCATTATGTAGTGCAGGCTGGCCTTAAAGTTACTATGTGGCCCAGGATAGCCTTGAACTCACGGTGATCCTCCCGCCTCAGCCTCCTCCGGTGCTGGGATCACTGGAGTGAGCTACCACACCTGGGTTATTTGCCTTTTAATAGGTACCACATTCACATAGTTCAAATGTAGATTAACAATGAAAAGACTTCTCTTAACTTCCTCTTACCCCTTCCTCTTACCTCTAATCTCTTAGTTTTCTTTCCTAAAACAATATTATCACTTTCATATGTATCTGTGTAGAAGTTTATGGATAGCTGAGCTGATATTTTATATCCCCATTTCAGGGATTAACTCAAGACTTTGCACTTGCAAGGGAGGTGCAGCACCACTGAGCTAAATCCCCGGCCCCGTGCCTATGTTTTTGTGGGGTTTTTTTCAGTTAATAATAAAATATTTTAAAAGTACAACAACAAAAGTTTGTGATAACCGCATATCATTATATAGATAGCCACTTCATTCCTTTATATGGCTGAACAGAAAATATGTATTCTGTCAATTTATCATAATTTAATGCTCCCACTGCTTTTTGCTATAAAAATAAGCCTACAGTAAATAAATTGTGCTTTTTTTTTTCAACTTCCAAGATAAATTACTAGATGTTGAATCCCTGGGTCATAGGATGACAGGCTTTTTGTTTTATTTTCTTTTATTTTTATTTTGTTTTTTTGAGATAGGATCTTGCTATGTAGCCCAGGCTGGCCTTGAACTCGAGATGATCCTCCTGCCTCAGCCTCCTGAGTGCCGGGATTAGACAGTTTCGTTTTTGACTGATGGTAGCAACTGTTTCAGGGAAGACGTTTGCGCTTAAGGCTTCCTGGCTGCTTTCCCCTTCTCAACGACCTGGACAGCCCGCAGCAAACCATCACGCAAGGCCCAGTGCTTCACCATGCTGGTGATCATGAACGTGACGTCCCTGACGTACGTGCGTCTCACTGAGGCGGCGTAGTGGTCGGCCTCGCTGCCGTGCGCGAGAAAGAAGGCGCAGAGCGCGGCCGCGTCTCCCTCCTGCAGCCCGATCTCCTCCAGGACCGATTCCCACGCCACTCTGATGCGCTGGTTCTTGACTTTTCGGCGAAGGACGGAGGTGAAGGTGGGAAGACTTCTCCTCAGGTCTGGCAGCTTCTCAAGCACACGAGTGTGCAGGCAGATAAGTACTTCGATGACATAGCTGTACAAAATATTCAGTTCCACTGAGGTGAACCTACGAGAAACGGAGAGCTGCGAAAGCAGTAGAAAACGCTGCAAATATAAACTGTGCTCCATTACGAGAACCCGGTACAAAACCACTGGAAAAACCAGCTGGTGTTTTTGTTGTTTGTTTGCTTTGGCTCTTTTGAGACAGGGTCTCTAGATGTAGTTCGGGCTGGCCTTGAACGCCCAGCGATCCTGCTGCCTCAGCCTCCTGAGAGCTAGGATTACAGGCGTAGGCCACTGTACCCAGCTTCAATTCCGTTATGGAATGAACAAGGAAAGCTCTCACAGAACCACAAAATTCCACTGGTTTCCCAGTCAGTACTCACCTGAGTGCCAAAACCGCTGTCCACAGCTCATCTTGAGCAGCTTGGCTTGCCAGAATCTTGCTATGGTTTTCAAATTTCTGGGTCAGATTATCCTTGGTGATGTCCAGTTCTTTGAACTGTGCTTCTAAACCCTGGAGTTTATGGTCTACTCTATAGTACATAATAATCGAGGTTAGATCAGGGAACAAAACTAATATTTTTACTTTAACCTAAGTCTCTAATAACATATTATTTAAACCACTACCAAATTTGGGTTTTGTTTGTTTATTCTTTGCAGTGCTGGTGATCAAACCGAGAGTCTTGCACCTACTTTAGAGGTTTTTTTTTCTTTTGGGGTTTTTGGTTTCTTTTCTGAGACAGGATCTTGATGTATAGCTCAGGCTGGCCTCGAACTCACAATCCTCTTGCCTCAGCCTCCTAAGTGGTGAAGTTACAGGTATGCACCACTACTAAAAAGTGTTTTATAGAAACATTACTTTAATCCTTACAACCATAAGAAGTGAAGTAGTCATTTTTACTATTTTACAGACAAAGAAATTGAGTCTCAAAATTATTGAGATTTGATGTCATATGCCTAGCTAGCACTGGGATCTTTGTATAATAAGGTGGCTTTCATTACCCTATTTTACCTCCAGATCCTATCTTTCTTTCAAGGATCAACTCAAATTCCACTGCCTCTGTGTGTCCAGTTGTGTCTGTGTGCATGCTTCACATGTGTGTATGTGAAGCACTCTACCACTGACCTACATCCCCAGCCTTTTTTAAATTTAATTTTATTTTTTTAAAGTTGTTGTTTTGGTTTTTTTTTGGTACCGGGGATCGAACTTGAGTCCTTGCACTTGCGCAGCAGGCGGCAAAACCACTGAGCTAAATCCCCGGCCCCCCAGCCTTTCTTTTATTTAATTAATTTATTTTTTGGTACTGGGAATTGAACTCAGGACCTTGCACTTGCCAGGCAGGCACAGTGCCACTGAGCTACATCCCTACCCCACCCCCAGCCCTTCTTTTAAATTTTATTTTGACAGAGTCTTGCCAAATTGCCCAGCCTGGACTGAAATGCCTAATCGTTCTGTCTCAGGCTCCCAAGCACCAGAGATCACAGGCATGCACCACCACAACTGGCTTCCACTGCTTTCTTGAAATCCTTTCTCCTTGATCTCCTTGTCTTCTCCCTTAGAGAGCCTGCCTCGGTTAACGTCTGTCTAACCCACCCTCTCCTCTTCATCCTCACTAAACAAGCTCCTCACCATCTTTCACCTGGAGTTCCAATTATAGTAGTCTAACTGTGCCTTTGCTTCAGTCTCCAGTCCATCCTGCAGACACATTCTTCTAAAATACAGTTACAATATGCAGCACAACAGATAATGTTCCTTTATTTTAGTTTAGAATTTGGATTTTTGAGACAGAGTCTTGCTGTTAGTCCAGGCTGCCTTTGAACTGACTCTGTAATCCAGGCTGGCCTCAAACTTGTGGCGATCCTCCTGCCCCAGCCTCCTGAGTGCCACCCCGACTTGCTTAGTGAAATCTTCAGAATCAAATTGGAACTCCCCAGCAAGAAACAAAAACCTTTTAACCCTAGCCTTCATTTTTTTTTTTTTTTTTTTTTGCAGTACCAGGGATCGAACTGGGGACCTGGCACCTTCGAGGCAGGTGGCAGAACAACTAAGCTAAATCCTCTGTTTATCTTCTTAAAGCAAAACAAAAGGAAACAAAGCAAAACAAAAACCCAATAGATGTTTGAACCCAGGGCTTTCTGCTGTTTAACACTCAGCAACATACTGGTTCCAAGCTTCCATGGCTTCCATGTACTGTTTCCTCAGCCTAGAATTCCTTCCTGTCTTGTATTTTCTCATAAACTCCACTTACATTATTTTTTTGGTACCAGGGATCGAACTTAGGACCTTGTGCTTGCCTGGCAGGTGCCGGAATCACTGAGCTAAATCCCCGGCCCCGGAAACAGCTCTTATTGAAGGCTGATCAACAAACCATAAGGAAGCTCAAATCTGTCTCCATGATCTGTTGGTACTGCTTATTTTTGTAAATCTAGCATTTGGTACAGGCTATGAATGAAATTATAGCAAGGGAAGCAGATTTCTCTTTACTATTAATTTACTTTTTTTGAGTCTGAAGACCTAGACGACCTTAAGACACAATCTGATTAGGCTGTCTGTAGTCTTTGCTCGTCTCTATTCTTTATTCTTTTCTTCCCCATCTTCCTGGAAGAGTGGACCCATGCTATGCCCTCCCGGGTCCCTTAGCAACCTTTCCATAGCCTCCGTCAAGGATACCAGGGTTGTGGTTTCTGTGTTCATCTTCTTAAAGCAAAACAAAGCAAACAAAGTGAAGCAAAACAAAAACCCAATAGATGTTCGAACCCAGGGCTTTCTGCTGTTTTCTACTCGGCAACAGGCAGCAGCAACTTGAGCATTTGATCTACTTCTGTCTGAAAGGTCACTCAGTACAGAAGCTTTTAATAGCTTGCACATCCAAAGATAGTTTCAAAGAACTGATGGTGTGAACACAGGTGTCCCGTTGTACACTGTAACATTTGCCTTTGAAAACTTTCCCTCCTGCTGTGGTGGCACACCCCATGGCACATGCCATAAGTTAGAGGCCAGCCTTGAGTACATAGTGAGTTCAAGGCCAGCCCGAACTATAAAGCAGGACCTTGTCTCAAAAACAAAAAAAATAAACTGACCCACAGTACATGAATGTAGAGCAACACCCAGATACAACTCTGTATATTCTGGTAAATCTATATACAGATATACCTACATATTCATATTTGATGGAAATGTTGCTCTCATATTTTAACAGCTTCATTATTCAATTACCTGAAGTACTTTTCACTATGTAGCTCGGGCTGGTCTCGAACTGGCAGCAATCCTCCTTCCTCAGCCTCCCCAGTGCTGGGATTATAGGCATGCAACACCACATCCAGCCCCAGATCTTTTATAATGATGATGATTTTAATGCTAATAGTATAATTAACAATCACTACAAACTAGTATTTTATCGAGAGATTCTAGTATTAGGGTAGGAATTGAATATAAAAATGGACAAAACAGGATTCTTGCTAGGCATGGTGGTTTGAGCCTGGGCATGGTGGTTTGAGGCTGTGGTCCCAGCTACTCAAGAGGCTGAAGCAAGAGAATCACCTGAACCCAAGAACCTGAGGCCAGTGTGGGCAACAGCAAGATCCTTTCTCAAAACCAAGCCACGCTGTGGGTGGTGTACTCAGCCTCCCGAGTGCTGGGATTACTGGCTTGTGCCACCACACCCAGCTAAGAAGATTTAAAAACAAAATTTATTGATTCACTTATTCAACAAGAAATAGTAAGCTATCTACAGTAAAATATTCAAGCATTTCAAAGCTGGATCTGCTTTGAAGACTGTAGTTTTGAAGAAAAGTCATCCTTTGAAGAAATAGCCATATCCAGTGATGGGAATAGACAGTGAAAATATGGGGGATTGTAGAGCTAATGATACTTTGAAAGTGTAAACAAGGATTCTATGACCCTGGAAAGCAACATTTTAAAAAATAATTTTTTAAACTTTTGAAAATTCAAATTAGATTTGGGAAATCCACTTAGAGCAAAAAATAATTTTAATATCAAATAATAAATGGTCCTGGCTGGGTTCAATCCTCAGCAATGCAGCAATGCAAAGAAAAGAATGTACTCTAGGGGCCGGGGATTTAGGTCAGTGGTGCCACCGCCTGCCTCAAAGTGCAAGGTCCCAAGTTTGATCCCCGGTACCAAAAAAAAAAAGAAAAAAAAATGTACTCTATTGTTATTATTGTTAAGCTTCTAATCTGATCAATTAAAATTGGTTTTCTTTTGTTATGCAAGTAAAAATATAATGATGAGTGGTTACTTGGAGTCAAGAATGATTTTTCTTTTTTGGTACCAGGGATCAAACTCAGGACCCCGAGCTCACCAGGCAGGTGCTGTGCCACTGAACTACATCCCTGGCCCTAATTTTGTTTTTTGTTTTTTTTGTTTTTTTGGTACTGGGGATTGAATTTGAGACCTTGCGCTTTGAGGCAGGCGGTGGCACCACTGAGCTAAATCCCTGGCCCATTTTGTTTTGTTTTGAGTACCAGGGATTGAATTTGGGACCTTGTGCTTGTGAGGCAGGAACCAGAATCACTGAGCTAAATCTCTGGCCTTTGTTTTGTTTTTTTTTAAGGAAAAGTCCTGCTATGTTGCCCAGCCTGGTCTCCAACTACTGAACTCAAGTGACCCTCCTCAGCCTCCCAAGTGTCCCTTCTGATGACAGGCCTGTGCCACCATGCTCAGCTAAAAGTTTCTTATTAGCCAAAAAGAAAGTTCTTTGATAAAGAGACAAGTACTTGTTCAACTCACCTAGAAAAGAAAAAAGGAAAAATTCAGGTAGCAGCTTGTCAAGTTAATGGATTAGTTTGCGGCTGGTAAAGCTGTGGCTTGTTTCGCTAGAGAGAGCTGAACCTCTACAGAACCATCCAGGCAGAGGAAGTACTGAAAACCCCAGGAACCCAAAAAGTAATGCTTCACCAAAAGCAGCAACAGCAGCTAGAAAACCAGGGTGTGTTATTTACAAGGGGGCAAGTTCAGGCCAGGAAACTTAAGGGAAAAGGGAGAAGGAGAAGTGTCTGCCTCAAGTCCCTGAGGTAACGGACTCCAAACCGCCTGGTCTCTGCAGTGTCACAGTGCCCGTCCTAAATATCAGAAGCCATGTGCCACTCTGGAGGGCTGGAGGTAGCGAAACCCCATGCTAGTTGGGGCCAGTTGGGGCAGACTGTGTGGGTCTGAGCAGTCAAACCCACTCACCTTCCCCTCCTGCCTGAGTGGATGGCATCAGGAGCCACCTAATTGCTGAGGCCACAGACCTGGGCTTCCTTCCCAATGCCAGTGTCTCCTGCTGACAGTGTGACCAGTTTTCCTAACTGGATGCTTTAGGATTTACACTAAAGCTCCTCCACGCTACTCCAGAATAGCTTCTTTCTCCCCAAAATTGTGTTCTAACCTTGGGACTCCCCACATCTCCCAGAAATGCCATTAACCTGTCTGGTCTTAACTGGAGATGGTAATGGCCACTCAGGAGGATTTCCAGAAAACTCTGAACTCAAGCTCAGCATTGGACTAACATCCATCAATTCTTTTTGGTACTGGGGATCGAACTTGGGACCTTATGCTTTCAAGGCAGGCGGCAGAACCACTGAGCTAAATCCCCAGCCCAGCATTGTACTTTTAAAAGAAAAAACTATTAGACTTCGGAATTATTAGCATATTATTATACTAGCTGGGTATGGTGGTGCAGGCCTGTAATTCTACCACTTAAGAGGCTGAGGCAGGCTGGGGATTTAGCTCAGTGGTTCCACTGCCCGCCTTGAAAGCGTAAGGACCTGAGTTCGATCCCCAGTACCAAAAAAAAAAAAGAGGCTGAGGCAGGAAGATC